GAGCAGCTTAGGTTCAATCTCATATCTGTCATCATATGCTCTACCCTTTTGGTCTTCCTTTCAACCCTCTATTTCCTAACCCGTCCTCGCCCTGTATACCTTGTTAATTTCTCGTGCTATAAGCCTGAAGATGCTAGGATATGCACAAGGAAGATTTTCATGGAGAGGTCAAAGTTGGTTGGTTCATTCCCTGATGAAACTCTTGAGTTCCAGAGGAAAATTCTTGAGAGGTCTGGCCTTGGTGAATCAACTTATCTCCCTGAAGCTGTGCTGAGGGTACCACCAAATCCTTGTATGGCAGAAGCACGGAAAGAAGCTGAGATGGTTATGTTTGGTGCCATTGATGAGCTCCTTGCTAAAACTGGTATTAAGCCAAAAGATATCGGAATTCTAGTAGTAAATTGCAGCTTGTTTAATCCAACACCCTCTTTGTCTGCAATGATTGTGAACCATTACAAGCTCCGTGGAAACATTGTGAGCTACAATCTAGGTGGAATGGGTTGCAGTGCTGGTTTGATCTCGATCGATCTTGCAAAAGATCTTCTTCAAGTACATCCCAATACCTATGCTTTGGTGCTCAGCATGGAAAACATCACCCTGAACTGGTATTTTGGGACTGAGAAATCCATGCTCCTTCCAAATTGCTTATTCCGGATGGGAGGTGCTGCTGTAATGCTCTCCAACAAAGGATCTGAGCGAAGAAGATCAAAGTACCAGTTGGTGCATACTGTCAGAACTCACAAAGGTTCCGATGACAAGTGTTTTTCTTGTGTTTACCAAATGGAAGATCCCAATGGAAAAGTTGGAGTATCGCTGTCAAAGGATTTAATGGCAGTAGCTGGCGATGCTCTAAAAACCAATATCACTACGTTGGGCCCTCTTGTGCTTCCCATGTCCGAGCAGTTGCTTTTCTTTGCAACGCTCGTGGGAAGAAAACTGTTGAAGATGAAGATCAAGCCTTATATCCCAGATTTTAGATTGGCGTTTGAGCATTTCTGCATTCACGCTGGTGGCAGAGCTGTGTTAGATGAAATAGAGAAAAACCTGCAACTCACTGACTGGCATATGGAGCCTTCAAGGATGACACTATATCGATTTGGAAACACCTCAAGCAGCTCCCTTTGGTACGAATTGGCCTACTCGGAAGCTAAGGGAAGGATCAAGAGGGGAGACCGAACATGGCAAATAGCATTTGGTTCAGGGTTCAAATGTAACAGTGCAGTTTGGAAAGCTTTACGATCAATTAATCCAGCCAAGGAGAAGAGCCCGTGGATGGATGAGATTGACCAGTTCCCCGTGGATGTTCCAAGGGTTGCAAAAATCTAAAAATCCAATTGAGCTTTCATTTAGCTTAGTGTTCCCGACATCGCAGGTGATTATTCTTTATCAGTTGCAATGTGCTGTTCAGTTGTTTCCTTGTGATTCTCAAGCTAGTCTATCGCTGATCTAATTCTATTGAGAAGCTTAGATAGGGAATTCTACTTGCTCTCCATTGAGTTATGAGAATCAAGCAAGTGTTCTTCTCATTTTTATGTTTGTGGAAATTGAGTTTAGGATCATTGACCTGTTGGTAATTTGGAATTCAGGGGGTAATTGCTGAATATGTATCAGTTAATATCCATGTACTATTTCTTTATTCATGATTTATCCCAGAAATTGATATTCATTGTTATGGAGAGCAGTTGTGTTATTCTTCTTTCAACCCCGTCTCCTCGCCCCTCCTTTGAAACCATTATATGGTGTGGCTAGCTGCGAAATATGCATACCCCTTTTTGCTGATTACAAGATACTAAAGAAAGCGAAACAAAATTTTATCTGTGAACTTGTTGATAATAGTATAAAGTTTCATGAAGTTGTCTACTATCTTGCTTTGTTTGTCAAGGAGAAAGGTAAAAGTTGTACTAACATTAAAACTAGAAATCCCAGGGAAAAGTGAGTTAAGCATGTGTTTCATGTATTTTTCATGTTTTCAATCAAGCAGCTTCCCTTAAAAAAAGGGCAATCATGTGCACAAAGCACCTCACACGTTAGCGGGGGGCTGCATCCCAAGAGGTGTGATGTAAACAATCTACCCTGATGCAAGCATTAGCATTTGCTTTCACGGCTCGTAATTCTTGACATTATGCTTTACTCAATTTGAGAAAATTAGTCCTCTTGTTGTAAAACTTTGGTCACTAGAACACATGTTATGGAACGCAAGGCCAAAAACAAACAATATCACTAGTAAGGTAGTGGTGGTTACGCATTGGTAAATATGGTTGGTAAGGCCATTACTCTTTATTCTACTAAAATCTTATCCTTACATGATGCCCCAAAATGGGTTACATAAATTTCAGCCCATTGCACCAAAAAGACATGTCCTGAGGACACGCAGGGCGTGTGTTGGGTTGTAGAGCCTGATTTATCCAGTCTATCATTCAAAGATAAAGCACATCAGAAGGCGATACCATTTCACTCGCAGGGCAGTGGAGGATGGTGATATGTGCTTGGAGAAGATAGAGGGTGCAAAGAACCGGCAGACATGTTGACGAAATGTGTTGATGTTGGGAAACTGGGGTTATGCAAAACCTCGGTTGGTCTTCTATAGTTGTTGCTACAGATGTTGCGGTGCGATAAAGATGTTGATGATAAAGAGATTTTTTTTTGAGAATGTATTTTTTGGATGACTGAATCAGTCTCCAAGTGGGAGAATTGTTAGGCTGTACTATTTATTCTCCATTTATTCTCTTTAACCAAAAATACTTTGATTTATTAATATATATACCCCACGGCCGTGGAAGTTTACTCACGGAGTGTTACCACGAAATATTGATTTCTCTCTTTCTCTCTCTAGATCTCTCATCTCTTTCTCTCTAAAGTTCTTGCATTTTTTATTCATCAAGTGTGTGTGGATTCGATCTTAACAGGGCGAACTGTAAAATCGGTTACAGTTGATGTTATTTTCTCAGTTTGTAAATTCAATTTTAAAAAAAATAAAAAAATTCAAGGTATTTGCCAGCCTTTGAGGTAACTGAGATCTCATTTCTTTACATAAATGGAGGTTACTGCAAATTGCGTTTGAGTAATATTCGAAAGTGATGAACAAGATATCTTCTATTAGATTCAAAACCATTGAATTAGTAATAGTATAGTCATGTAAATGACCATAGAAGGTTGCCGTGGTGCAGTAAATATTCCTTCGTCCTAAACTTAAGGTCTCTCATTTAGGACATGCAAATGAAGTCGTCTTTTATAGAAAACGCTTTACTCCTCATAGTGAAACTATCCAACGTAAGAATCTGAATTAACAAGGTGGAACTTGGAAGCCAAAAAAATTATAGTGTAAAAATGTTTTTATTTTTATAGAAAATAGTGTTCACCACTAAGAGTTTGTACCATGGAATAGTAATTATCATCAACAATTTGTTGGACATGTGCATTTAACGGTGCGACCTGATAGTCGATGAAGTGGGTAGAGGGTTATAAGTTCTAAGCTTTAAATTTGAGCAGAGAAAAAAGTACACGTAGGTGACTTTTTCCATCTACTCTAGCGTTGATGGATATAGTTACTTAACATCTGTTACGATGAAAGATAATAATTAATAAAAACAATCAAGTTGACTGAAAATTGATCCAAACATCACGGTAATTAGAAAACACTTGGTTGGACATAAAGTTGCACAAGTATATGATAGAGATGATGTGAGGGGAGCTAGGGTGAGTTGTATATTAGTGAGTAATGTGTGGTGATTTTTTTATTAGGACTATCAAGGAAAAACAAAAGTTCATACGTAACTAAGAAAAGGTGAAACGTGGAACAAATTAATACTTTAAACTTATATTCTCTATCAATCAGTATTTATTTTCTTGTTTGGATTTTGTTGATAACATAAAAAAAAAATAGTTTTATCCACGATGAATTCCTCGATACAGACTACAAAGAGTTCTTCCAATGAGCATTAACTAGTTTGAAATTAACTAATTTGAAATTGAATATGAAATTTTTTTTATTAGAAATCTCACTTTCAAATAATACTTAATTTAAATTTAATTAAAATTTTAATACAAACTCTACTTTTCAGATATCAGAAAATTAATTCAAATAAAACAAAGGAGAATTTTCCATTTGAAGTTGATTTGGTCGTTGCTTGGCCAAACAAAACTATTATTCGTCAATTAAGTGTAGCCATAGCCATCCATGCAAATGGCAACCCTCCAAGTTCCAAGAAACATCATCCATATACATTAAATAATATAAACATTTCATTTTTTACTATACGAAAATCACATACTTCTCTTTCTTACGCTATATAACAAAAACAATTTTAACAGCAATAAATATGCGCATTAATAAAAAATATTAAATAATTTTTAGTAACAATAAATATGCACGTTAAATTCTTTATTAATATTAAGAAATTGTCATTAAATTTAACATTGCTACAAACTTTATTATATTTACAAAGAACGCTTAAATATATCTATCACTAATAATTGCTTTAAAAGAATATATTTAGCTGACTCTTTAAGTTATTTGTGATATAAAAATCCTATACGTGCATTCTATTTTCCTGTTTACTATTGATGTTCTAGACAATTTTAAAATATATATATATATATATATATAGTTTTGGAAATACTAGCAATTAGCCAGTCATATAGTCCCTGGAAGTACTGTTTTTATTATGTTTTTCATTAAAAAAGATAATTAATTATAGATATATTAATTATAAAAATCCATGTAATTTAAGTGGAAATTATAAAGTTTGACACTCATAAACTAAATCAATACTTCATTCGAGAAAATAAAACTAATCTAATCAAACAAATTAAAGACACCTAAAATATTGTAAATTAAAAGCCAAACAATCTGAATTGATATTTACAAACTTGCACAACATCAATTAAATATTTCTCCACAATGAATACATGGATAGTGACCATTATCTATTACTTAAGGAGTACTATAAAACAAACAATTTGTGTATATAATAATAAGATAAAAGACATTTGCCTGCATATGAAGGTGTCTCAATTTTCAAAAATGGCTGCTAATTAATCAATATTTTGTTCGTTTACATATGACAAATTTTGTCGATTCAACATATAATTAGTCAATGAATAATATTAATAATTGACGGATTAATCAAAGATACATTCTAGTATATTATAGATATAAATTAGTCAGATTTTCTAGAATATATAGAATGTGACTCCCACGTCCTGTATTAATATTTCTACACCCTGCAATAATAAAAGGAACAGTTCACATTCATCAGTTTCATAATATACAAATTTCTTTTATTTTCTTTTTTGAACAATATATATCAAGATATTTAAGAAATAATTATAGACAATTATCCATGCTAATTGAAATTAGTAACATGCAACAACAAAAATAAACATTCTTTGTCAGGGTAGTCGCACTGATAGTGTAAGATTTTCATTAATTTGTCCTTCGATGTATAAGTTAAATACATTTAATTTATAAGAATGAACGTGAATTTAGCATAAAGGAACATATACGTCACACAGACTCACAGGTTTAAATTTGAAATATATATATAAAAAAAATATAGCAACAAACTAGTTTTCATCGTTATATCGAGTATTATTGTAGCATATATGTCAGGATAGGGTAATAGATTGTCTACATTACATCCCTTATCGGGTGCGGTCTTTCTACATGCGTATCAAAATGCACTACATCAAAAGTAATTCTTAACAATAATCAATTAATTATAAATAGCTTAATCATCGCTATAATAAGCGAACTTTGTAAATATCCCTAGAGTCTATATTAACATTGGATCAACTAACAATTAAGTAATATCGATAAATATTTTAACACTCTTTATTAATTACTATGCTTGCATGCTGCTAAAAGTTGTTTTTGCTGTATTGATGGTGAATTTAGCATATAAATTGGATGTAGGAAATTAAAAAAGTTTGAATATTAAACATTACTACTTACTGTCTGTAATCAATATTGAGTGAAGGTGTATTTGGAAGAGCAATTGCAGCTAAAGCAGCATTAGAAAGAACCATGGTGGTTCCTTCTTTAGTTGGCCTTGATTGTGATGTTTTTGCTCTATCAACTATCTTTATCTGAATTGTTTGTCCAGCTTTACATGCTTTTGGCAACACTGAGTTAATACAACTGATCAAATATTGTCTTCCACATGCTGCTCCATTGTCCCATATTCCTTCCCCTGCTGCTGCAAAGAAGTTGCTTGATGGGAACTGTGTTGGATCATTCCCAAAACACTCCGTTGCTGCGCGAACAATATATTAGTTGTCATGTTTCATTTCTCCCGATAGAAAAAAAAAAGAGTCAAATTAGTACATAGATATACTTATTGGTACCATTTATTGTTTGGGTGGTAATAGTTGTAAAATAGACAAATACAAGGGGTGATTTGATAATTTAGGTTTAAGAAAATCTGAATTAGACGAGAAAAAAAGTTAAAGTGGATTACATGAATTTTCACTGATCATATCAGATACTATAATAATTGTAAGACTATTATAGAGAAACGTGATATGTTGTATATGTTACACTTAGTGGCGGAGCCACCATAGCTTTAGGGGGTTCATTCTCTGCGACTGAAAATTATATTATTTTTAGATGATTATAATAACTTTTTTAGGTATATATAATAGATATCGAAACCCCCTTATCGAAAATTCTGACTCCGCCTCTGATTACACTCCCTTGAGGTAGCCTGAAATGTAGGTAGGTTGTCTACATTACATTACAGTATTCCTTTAGAGTATCTACCACCTTCTATGATTACGTGAGAACGTAATCAAAATGCTTAATGCACTGAATTATCTTTATTTTACGAGCGAAAATTTAATTTAAATGTAACTTACGTGTATATGGTGGCTTATACTGGCTGGCAGTTCCAATATCAGCTTGTGAAGCATGAAATAGTTGAGCAAATAAAAAGAATATAGGCAGCCATATTGATGAAGCCTTTGACATCCTAAAAGAAGCAAGGAACTTTGATATAAATATATACAGTATTTAGGCTTTGTTATAGTTTGCAGTCTTTTCGACTATATATATACAAGAAATAATGATTGTGATATGATTAAATTTTTTAAAAATGAATTTTTGGTCAAACTCTTTTATAATATACAAATTCGCAGAGTTCACTAAATTAATATCATGATTGAAATTTGCACCTAATAACTTTTAAATCGTGAATTTATCTCTTGGCTCACCGCCTCTCACCTCTAAATTTAATATGTTAATTCATAAAATTTATAACGTCTAAATTTTGAATTTTGTCATGGTAATCATATCTAATAGTCAATTAACTTCAAAGGAATTAGAAGGTATTATATATATTCTTCTTTTTTGCAGTGTAAATATTCATGGAGCATTGTAGATTCCAGTTTATAAGATATCACACATATTAATAGGACATCTATTCAAAGTCAATTATATATATTAATAGTATTGGATTTAACTCTTTGGAATTTTATAACTTTTATGAATCTCTCACATCTAGAAATTAATTTTTTTTTTTAAAAAAAAAAAACTACTTTGAACATACAATTAATATGTAGGGAAAAGAATAGGGGAAATGTACCTTTCAATATTATTATATTTGAAAAGAGAACATTTATGTGCCATGTAACACAACTCTACACATAGAGAATGGAGAATCATTTATAATTTTATTCAAGAGTATAAGAACTAACAAACCAACTACATAATTGCAATTTTAAAATTTAAGCTAATAAACTAATTCGATTTAATTCTAAAGTTTAGTCAAATAATTGTAATGTGTAAACATTAATTACCAAAGCTTTGAAATTGACATTGTGTTAGCAATATTTGACTTTCTTTTAATACTACTAGTTTTTGAGTTTGAGTTTGAGTTTTTTCTACTGATATTTAAAGCTTTGTATACGTATATTCAGTTATTAATAGAATAGATCTATCTACGTAAATTCAGTTAGTAATAGAATAAAAGAAGCGAATTCAAAAATTAAAATTTTTATTAGATTGCAATATGGTGTCGAAGAGTTATATGGTAATAAGCAGGCCATTTTTTAGTGCATGTGAATATAGGTGGATTAATAAATATACAACGAAAATAAGTCATGTGAACCAAAATGAAGAAATGTATAAAAGCAATTTTTGGGTCAATAAACGGCTGCCGATTTCTTAGAAAGTATTTAATTTGGCTATAATTAATTAATCAATCCATACTCTATACTCTATAGAAGATCTATGATTTGTTTTCGATCTTAATGATTGTTCGATTAAATTTGAATTGTATATTATCATTTTTAATATAATTTTTTATATGTGAAGGGCTCGAATTTATTGTTATCATTTGTATAAAAGTTAGTCAAATAATACAGAAACATAAATAAGATGAACAGATAGAAAATTTTAATTTGAGCCTACAGGAATCATTGTATTTTGTTAAGAAATTTAATTTCCTTACTTTTTCCGAAATTGCAGATTAATTTTTCTCAAGATAAAACGGATAAATCTGTTAAAGAAGTAGCAGTACCTCAAACTTCAATAACTTCAGCGAACGTAAAAACAATAACAATAGCACACACAGACTCAGTCAATCGAATTTTGTTTTATACAGAGAGGGAAAATTTTCAGTGTTTAAAAAAACGGAAAAAAAACCCTCCTTTTTATAGTCATTTTTAGCAAGAAACGTGTCTGTTCAAACTCGTTTTTTCGAGAAAGTTCTGTCTTTTGGAAAAAATGACGACTTTTCGAAAGAAATAGGCCCCTTTAAATCGCTATTACCATTGCACACGAATTTCAAATAAATTCTATTGCACCAAAATTGATTATGTTATTTAACTAATATTCTGAATTAATTTATAAAAAAAATGATCAAGATTTATTCGATTAACGAAATTGATTAAATAAATTTTGATTCCCTCATTTTTTCATTTTTGTCTTCTCTTTTTCCATTCACAATTTGCTAAAATCCAACACCTAAAACCTCTGATTAAGGATGAAATAGTCTCATCTAACACAATATTCGGTGTTTGTTAACCTTATGTGACTTAATATCCACAATTATCAAGTACATTGTTGGACTTATAATCATTCCTTAGAATTTGTCTTTTAATTTGTGATATCCTTCTATAAAATACTATTTTAATTATGTGTATTACATCTTAATTATCTGTCAAATCATTTTTCAATATTATTGAGTCAAGATATCTCAATTATCAACATTTAAGCACCATAATCCCATCTAATCTCACTTTAATGTTCATCATGTATTTCAAACATACTTAGAACAAAACTTTAAACATCTTTATAAGACAACAAAGTTTAAGAACATTTTCATAACTAGAAAATTAAAACTAGTAGAGAAACTAGAATCAAAAACAGATTCAAAAAAAATATACGAAATATTTTTCTTAAAGAAGAATTGTTGTTAATATGTGTCTAAAGAATCTTACTGATTCCAACAAACTTTACAGTAACACAAAGTTATCAAGTTTAATGAACCAGTGAAGAACAAAAGAATAGAAGAACTGAAATTAATTCACAAATCTAAAATTTGTAAAACACGTACCAGAATCTGAAAAAATTTTAAAAGGAAAAAGATCAAGTCCACTGAACTCACTGTGTCTCCTTAAGAAAATTATTCCCCTCTAGTATCTGAGGTTTGATTTGCAATATGACCTATTATCTCAATCACCAGAGTATAGATACCAAAAACTCCGGTGTCAGCAAACCACTCAATGGCAGTAAAGTACACTGAGAATACTAGATTTAGTAGTTGAAGAAGAAGTCCATGAGATAAAATCACTCAATTTATAGAAAACAAAAGGTAGTGTGAAAAGGTTCTTATTTTGCCTTATCGGAAAAGACACAAACCTTTGAAAAAATCAAAATCTTTCAAAAAGATCGTCATGTTTCATAAAAGTCACAACTTTCCATAAAAGTCACAACTTTCCATAAAAGTCGCAACTTTTCATAAAAATCGTCACATTTCATAAAAAGTCGCAACTCTTCATTTTCCATTCGGACCTTTTTAAAACCCAACAATTGTACTAACAAAACTTATCAATATGTGTACTGTATATTTTTTCTGTTTATCTTAAGATCTTATACAATAAAAAATATTGACTCTTTGAAGACTTGATCAATACAGAATCTAATTAATTCATAAAATTGTAAATAATTCATATACATACTAAAAGTAAGTTGTAAGTAACTTTTTGCATTTAATTAAAAAGTTTGGTTTAGCACACACTAAAACAAATTAGTAGTCTACTAATCCACCAAAAATTAATTATTCACGTGCACATGTTGTACTATAGACAACATCAAACCACAAATTTTAAACAATTATCAATTTAATTATTGAATCCCTAAAATCATTCAAAAATGTGAAGGATTTATCGGAGTGATGGACGGTCACCCAACATGGATGGCTAGAGAAATTACTATTTTTCTAAAAGACATTTATATATCTCAATCCAAAAGTTTAGACAGGTCATAGATTTTACGCATTTATCAGCTCAACTCTTTTTTACTAATTTAATTCAGTTTGTCTAAAAACTATGCTAATATATATATATCGAATTAATTCATGAAAAATCTTATAAAAAAATATATTAGGTACTCAAATAAATTATGAAAAAAATTTAAAAAAGAAAGAGAATTGAACGGGTAGTTATACCCCATTTGTTAGGTGCCGATTTATCTCATGTAATAATAATTGATACGCTTAATTATTAACTCGTTTGACTCGTTCATTTGACATCTCTAATTTTCGTTCGAGAAGATTTGCTAAAGATTTGTTATTAGCCTACAATTTTGTGGGACCAATCAGATGAAATTCACGACAAAAAAAGGAATTGGAAAGAATATTGGGGTAAAAACTTTAAAATAAATAAATAAATAAATAAACAGAAAGGCATACCTTGATAAACTTTTAATGTAGAGATCTAGATGAATAATTTCTGCAAAATAATTGAAGAATTAAGATTAGATAGGTGATTATAGAGTGGGTATTAAAGGACTTAAAAGGAAATAAAAAAATTGAAGAATTAAGATTAGATAGGGCAATAAAGATTGGGAATTAAAGGACTTAAAAGGAAATAAAATCTTGAAATTTAATTGGATTAATAATTATGAGATTTGTAGATATCTTATTTACCCCAAAAAAGAAGCTTAGAAGCAATAAATTTAGATACTTGATTGACGGATGCTTTGATAACATTAAAAACGTAGCCTTATAAGCAAAAGTTAACAAAAAAATGGTATACGTCAATGGTAAAATTAGTTCAGAAAATATTATTCGTGCAATTATTTATATTTGAGTAATAATTATTTATTTATCAGTTTAATATATTTAAATCGTTAAAAATATAGTTCAAATTCACTATCCAGTAAAATCGTTAATCTTTTTATTTGAGTGTTATATTAATTGTGCTTATTGGACACTTTGCTTCTTTCATTCAACCGTCTAATCAAATAATCATATTAAAATCATTGCGTAGTGAAGGAATAATGAGAAGGTAATTATTATTTTTTTGCAATTGCTTAATGTGTAAAAAAAAAACTGTATCTATAATTAATTAAATCATATAAATAAGTAATTATTGATCCAAACGTAATACTTCTTTCGTCCCGTCCCGGTAACACTTTTTCTATTTTAGTCGATTTTAAAAGAATAACATATTTTCAATATTTAGAATTAACAACTTAAGTATAAAATATTTATTTTAAATTTAATAAGATGACTTATATATAAATAAACAAAATATTCATTGATTTTATTCAAACATTCAAAAAAAAATTCTTTATATCTTTAATTTTACCCAGAGTCAAATACATTCACATAAATTTGAATGGATTGAGAAATAATTTTATTACAAACTGAGACATATTGTCACACTCCTATATTCCATGCCCGTTTTTAAAAAGAACGAGTGTTTTGAAAAAAATAGTTTTTTCAATTAAAGTGACAATTTTTATAAAGAATTATTTTTCCAATTCATATGGATTTTAAGAATTAATGAAGATGTTCCAACCTTATGATCCTAAACATGTCACATATCATGTTGAAAGCTAAAAATAGAATATTTACGAAAAAGAAAAATACATCATATTTTTAAAAATAGACTAAACAAGAAAATAGCTTTTTGAAACATAGTGAATAAGACATTAATGAATAATCTTTTATCACGAGTTAATTATGTGCACTCCGGGGGGAGAAATTAAAATCAAAGAAAAATACATTTTTACAATATTTTCTTCTTTTCTTTATTAATTATTTTTTTAAAAAAAATAGTGAGTAGGACTTTAATGAATAATCTTTTATCACGAATTAATTACGCACACTCTGAAGAGAAATTAAAATCAAAGAAAAATACATTTTTACAATATTTTCTTCTTTTCTTTATTAATTGTTTTTTTTTAATAAACAAACTAGCGAAAAGATAAATTGATAATACTATAAGAACGTAACTTATATAATAAAATGGGTTGCACACTATTTATAGGGTATGTGTGTTGTTTGTGAAGGAATTGTGGGATATGAGGTTTATGGGATTGATTATTGGAAAGTTTAGGCTATATGATAAAAAAAAAATTAACTAATTATTCTTATATTTTAATTAATAAACATAGAAAATTGAATGGCAAATGTAAAAATAAAAATATCATTAGCAACATATTAAAATTATTAGCTTATTTATTAAATCCTAAGTTGATATGAAAAATATAATTTTTTCGTAAAATTTCTTTTTCTTCTGAAGGAATAAAAAATAAAATTTATCCTAAATTGTGATTATATTTTTATTGTTAATTTTCTAATTCTTAAAAATAAATTTATTAAAATAAGATAAAAAATATCTCATTTAGATCAACAATAAATATTTAAAGATTGGGATCGTTTAGTGTGAGGGATTAAAAATACTAGTTATGGGATAAGAAAATAGTGATGGAATAAAAAAATTATCTTGGTTGGTTGCCACGTTTTGGATAGCTTATTCCACCATTTATATCATAGTGATGGAATGAAAAAAATTATCTTGGTTGGTTTCCACATTTTGGATAGCTTATTCCACCATTTATATCATATAGTGATACGATAAGAAAATAGTGATGGGATAAAAAAAATTATCTTGGTTGGTTGCCACGTTTGGAATAGCTTATCCCACTATTTATATCATAGTGATGCGATAAGTTATCCCATATACATGATAGGATAAGTTATCTTGAAATAACTTGTTCTCAACCAAACGACCCCTAAAAGGATAAAATTTGAGATTCGGTAAAAAAAATTAAGGTGTTTAATGTTCATACAAATAAACATGGAATTATTCCCTCAAAGTATTCTAGCCCAAGAAAACCAAAATAGAACTGGAGGTTTGGCCCAAACTTATCCACCTATTATTTACCAAGTTGGGCCAAATGGGCCAGTTTGTTAGCCCAAACATACCCACAAAACAAGTCAGATACGTATTAATTTGGGAAGACTACCTTATTAGGCATACATTCATAACACATATACTAATTTCACCTATACTTTTAAATAATTACATATTATATCATTTATTAAGAATTTTCTATCATATATCGAGGAAGATACACCTATATATATATATATATATATA